GGCCTAAATAGTTATTACCTGCCTGCCATCCGGATGACCGTACTTCTCAAAGTTTTCACGGGATACTGGATCAGTCAAAGCTTGGTAAGCTTTAGCTATAGACTCCACAAAATATTTATTGGCCTCTGTATAGTTACATTACATTACAACAGATCAGCGATAAGCACGTACAACAAAACAAAATCAAGAAGCAGGAATCATTTTTCGACCTGGATCTGGATTTTTATCAGGATGGTATTGAATAGAGAGTCTTCTATATGCTTTCTTGATTGCTGAATCTGAAGCACCAGGTTCTAAACCAAGTATACTAAATGGTTCAAAGAGCTGACTCTGTAATATTTTATCCAAGAAAACAAATAAGCAAATGAAACTCTTAAGCCACAATAACCAATCTCGGTTTAAGCTCGAAGAGAGAATTACCTCACGGCTAATGTTCTTAGTGTAATAAATCAAGAAGATCATTACAAACCAGAGAAACACAATTGTTATGTTGCTGCATGAAGTGAAGTTAGAGATCTGCAATAGGACAATAATCAACATGTTAAAGAGGTTTTATCGACTAATCATTATTTCAAACATTTCAGTAGAGGAAAAGGAAGGAAAAAACTGACTCTTTGTAAAATAGATTTCTTGTACTTCCCTGAACGGTCACACTCAAGGCATTGACAATGTATGCTTCTTTGTTTCTTCGAAAAAGCGCGGCTTAGCTTCACAAATGTATATGGCACTAACGGAATCGCGATTATCGTCAAAATGAAAATGGGAAATAACGCGCCATTATCTTCTGTTGTCGCCGCCATTTTTGGATCAAAAGATCCTGCAGAAGAAAAAGAAAAAGAAAAAATACTCTGTTTCATTCATCGTATCATTTTGATCTCAATCTACTAATGCTATAACCATTGAGAGTAATAGGTTTCTCGATCAAAACCTCTGTTCTATTTGCTTCAAGTTAACTTTTGTGGACCAATATGATTCAGTCAGTAGTATAATTTTGATAACAAATCGATCTTAAAATCACATCTAGAAAAAAAAAAAAAAAACATGAAGGAAGATCAAGAGGAGACTTATGAATAATCCCCAATTTTTTTTTTATCTATATTACAAAGAACAACTTAAAGACAAGAAACAGATTCGATTGCATGCCAGAAAAAAAACCCTAATCGAAACAGAAACAAGAACACAAGAAAGAACTTACCTCAAATCGAGTCTCGCTTGAATTGTTAAACTGAAGAAGAGGAAGAAGTGAGGTTTATCAAGGGTGATGATGAATCAACACGACCAACAATACTGTGACACGTGGATATCTTTAACGCAGCGTTTTGATCATTTGGTTTAGGGAAAATGAGTAAATGACGTTGACTCTTGAGTTCAGAGTTAAGAGACCAGTTGTTCACTTGTTCCTTAAACCCTTTTGGGGATTAAAGAAAGGATTTTTGTAGAAAAAGAAGCAGCTTTTTTTTTTTTGAATTGGAGAAGCACTTAAATGGTTCTTGTCCTCAAAAGTGTTAGATTCTTCAAACGATTCTCGACTTCAGCGACTCCATCGACATTATCTGCTTCTGATTGGAAAACCCAATTGAAACTTTCCCGATTAGCCACCGAAATCTCTTCGATTCTCTTACAACGTCGCGATTGGACCACTCATGTTCGAGATGTTAAACCGAAACTCCCTAAGTCGACACTTACACCTCCGATATTCCTCCAGATCCTCCGTGAAACTCGAGATTCCCCAAAAACCACACTTGATTTCTTCGATTGGGCTAAAACCCATCTCCGGTTTGAGCCGGATCTTAAGTCTCATTGTCGGGTAATCGAAGTTGCTACCGAATCAGGTCTCTTGGAACGAGCAGGAACACTCTTGCTTCCTCTTGTTGAAACCCATTCAGCTTCTATAGTTATAGGATCGATGCATAGGTGGTTTGAAGGTGAAGTTTCACTCTCTGTCTCGCTTAGTTTAGTTCTTGAGTGTTATGTCTTAAAGGGTAGTTACCAAAACGGCTTGGATGTGTTTGGTTCGATGAGAAGTTTGAGACTTTCGCCTTCTCTTCGTGCTTATAACTCTCTTCTTGATTCTCTGGTTAAAGAGAGTCAGTATAGAGTGGCTTTGTGTTTGTATAGTGCCATGGTTCGAAACCGGGTTGTGTCTGATGGGTTAACTTGGGATTTGGTTGCACAGATTTTGTGTGGACAGGGAAAATCCAAGAGTGTTGTTAAATTGATGGGAACTGGTGTTAAAAGCTGCAAGATTTACGCCAATCTTGTGGAATGTTATAGCAGGAATGGGGAATTCGATGCAGTGTTTAGTGTGATTCATGAGATGGATGACAAGAAACTAGAGCTGAGTTTCTGCTCTTACGGTTGTGTATTGGATGATGCGTGTAGATTGGGAGATGCTGAGTCGATCGATAAGGTTCTTAGTTTAATGGAGGAGAAAAAGTTTCTTACTTTAGGTGAATCGCCCGTGAATGATCAGATTATCGAAAGGCTCTGCGATATGGGGAAAACGTTTGCCTCTGAGATGCTTTTCCGTAAAGCAGGTAACGGTGGATCAGCGAGATTGCAGGATGGGACATATGGCTGTATGTTAAAAGCTTTGTCTCGAAACGGGAGAACAAAAGAAGCTGTTGATGCATATCGATTGATTTGTCGAAAAGGTATTACGGTACTGGATGAGAGTTGTTATAATGAATTCGCAAATGCTCTTTGCGAAGATCAGAATAGCTCAGATGAAGAAGAGGAGTTACTGCTTGTAGATGTTGTAAAGCGCGGTTTTGTTCCTTGTACACACAAATTATCAGAAGTTTTAGCAACTCTGTGTCGGAGCAAAAGATGGAAGCAGGCAGAGATGCTTCTTGATTCGGTTATGGAAATGGAAGTTTATTTCGATTCCTTTTCGTGCGGGTTATTGATGGAACGGTACTGCAGAAGCGGGAAGTTAGACAAAGCGATGGAACTACATGAAAAGATAAAGAAGATGAAAGGAAGTTTAGATGTGAATGCTTATAACGCGGTTCTTGATCGGCTTATGATGAAGCAAAACAAGATGGTAGAAGAAGCCGTTGGAGTGTTCGAGTACATGAAAGAGATGAATTCAGTGAACAGCAAGAGTTTTACGATCATGATCCACGGGTTATGTCGCGCAAAGGAGATGAAGAAAGCTATGAAATCTCATGATGAAATGTTGAAACTGGGGATGAAACCTGATTTAGCAACCTATAAACGTCTAATTTCATGTTTCAAATAAAATATTTTTTGGTTCAAATCAAAACATATAATCTGTAAACAGAGCATTATAACAAAACACAAAGAGACCTTTCAAGATTTTTAAGGTTTCAAAAATTTCTCAAACAAGAACAAAAGGGGGAAAAGTTTTAAATAATGAATACAATTATAAAGATTTGTTTTATATATATAATGAGCCTATTATATAGTTGATAATTTTTATTGGTCAAGAGGGAGCCACTCCAGTTCTAGTTCTAATTCACCAGATTCAACATTCTGAAGCTTGATTTGGACCTCTTGTTTCACTTTACCATCTGCAATGTTGATTATGCTATCTTCTATAAGAGCATTATCGTGCGATTTCAGCCATTTTCCGATCTGCATATCTCCAAACATTTCAGGGTCTCCAAAAGCCATTGCAGATGTAATCAGAGGTTGGATATCAATCTCAGCTTCTCCCATTATGTCATCAGCGGAAAATGTGTCGTAATCAAACACTTGCTACAAATGCCAGAAATAACGCGGAAAAAGCCATAAGGATTCGGTTGAAATATTGAATGAAAAGTAGAATCTGATTTGGAAATTGCTAGTCTCAAGCTTTCATACCAACTTCATGGAGCCATAATTATGAGGAACAGAGAGCATGAGTTCCTCATTCCACACCGGGTTTAAGTTACTCTTCACTACAGTAGATTGAGCAGTCTGGTAATATGATGAAAAAGATCAGCAATGAGATGACCATAACGATCACTATAACGTATAAAGAAGAAACCTTTCAAGAATTCACTTGATTTACCTGTTGTCCTAGAGTCAACACAACATAGGGATCGCTTGACATCATATCTCGGACGGCTAAATTGGTACCTTTTTTAATAGTCACCTTCAACAATCCAATAAACTCAACCATGCCTTCCAGTTGCTGTCATTTTTATAAATTTTCAAAACCGGGACGAAAGTATTAACACCGTGAATCACAAGGACGAGTATGAGCATTGTCCAAGTTACTTATTAGAGTTTACTCTAGTTGATTCTAAAATGAGACAGGAAAAAAAAGAACCTTTACCGGCTGTTGCGATGATGTATTTGTGCGAAAGCTATCGATAATCTTTTTAGATACAGTTGATGAAAGATATGCTGAATTCTTTGTAGAAGAAGCCTTCACGGATGTGATCCGCAAGCTTGGTTTCAGAAACTCTTGGTGCTCATATTTTGACCTGAAATTAAGATTTGAGTATGAATATTCCACTATTTGGTAAAACATAATTATCGGTTTTCTAGACTTACCTAATGAACCTCATACGCTGGTCATGACTAGCATCGGGTCCAGGCTTAGAGCTACCTTCAGGTATAAATGCCTCGTAAATTGAATTCGCTGAGGCATTTCCTCCAATTTCAATCATAGAATCAACTTCGTCATCCGACCATTCATCCAATGTTACGGATAAGACCTGGAAACGACCCAAACTATCAATAAACTTGCAAAAGATACAGTCAAGAAGAATGACTGAAGCAATATAAATATATAACTTTTCAAGAGGAAACTCTATCACAACTGTCATGTTCGTTATTTCCAAACCGAGATAACATCTCCCACAAGAGCATTTGTAAGCATCTTAGTGCGATCCAATTGAAATTTTCAACCAAGAAAACAAGAAATAGAAGGAGAAGCAAAGAGTCATTACCTTTGAGATATGAGTGCCAAGGCTTCTGTGGACACCGCAACATTTTAAGCATATAAACACTCCGATATTTGCTGACCTGAAATAAGCCAATGACTTGATTATGTAAACTGAATTTGGTATGTGAAAAAAAATAGAAACAAGATGGCAGGAAAACAAGAACATACAAAACCAAAAATGTAAAAACAATTAATGTGATGTGTACTGAAAGAAACAGCTAGAAATGCATACAAAGTAAAACTTCCTCGAACAAAACATTAAAATCGCGTATCGGGAAGCATAACTTACGCCCACTTAGGATCTGGAGCGCCACAATCAGCGCAGACTCGGTTATCAGATTGAGTTAAAAGATCCCTTATTCTCCTTTTACCTGTGGAAGCAACAAGGTCAATCAGTTCACAAGCAATGAACAATCCAATACAATCTCACACCACAAAAACTTTTGTGAATCCTCCAACCAGAACTACAAAACATGATTCTATGAATTTCCGAGAAATGGTTAAAGACAAACAAAACAACAACAATACATACCTGAGCCAGGCTTTCCGAGTCCGGCTGCAGAATGACTCATTGCTCTTCTAAAAAGCTAACAATCATCAAACAGAATCCTACACAGAACAACCATCATGCACAAACTTGTTAGAAAAACCAAAACTTTCATGAGAGATTCATACTCTGCTTTGCAAATTTCAAAAGCAAACATTTTGGAGAAACCACGACCACAGAATCAACAAGTACACATCGTTTTCAATACCCAGATAATTAGAAAAGGACAGAACCCAATGTAGATCAACCGTATCGATTCATGTTC